TATGAACAGCTTTATTCCTAATAACAATAAACACAAATACAAGAAAATCCAATTCCAATACTTCCACGACCTATGTTGTCCCCCTTCCTCCATCAAATGTAATGTTCATTCCATTGTCTATAAAAAAAATTAAGTGAATTGGGTCTTAGAAGAAGGGACTCATTAAGGCTGTGACATGTCTTTAGTTTAAAGAGCACTTATAGAGATACTTATAAATCGCCCATTAATAAAGTTCTTACATTGATAGTGAGATTTGATCTTGTTATAAGCCAAACGCTTAACAACTTGACTAACATTTGTTGGTTCTATTGTCTATTTCCGATGCAACATAATGGGGACAACAAGTCTTCAATGTTTTTTACTCCAAAAAATTTCCCCTCAGCATTCAAATGATCTCCTAGATTTTCATATTCTTACTTCAGCTTGTGATATGGTGAGAGGCTTTCTGAATCTAAATGTTGAATTCTAGAGCCCAATAACTAACAAGCTTTTGGGCCTTGGGGCCAAACAATTAATCATTATATTTTCTCATCATCAGGAAAACATTCTGAAGAAATCAACCTCATTGCCAACCAGTTGATTGCTTCATTTCAAAAAGTCACTATTTATGCATTGCAATAGCAATAGAAAGAGGGAGAAATAAAATAATTAATTTGATTTGAGTGATGAATTGTTGACGATCTCATGCTCTAGCACAAGAGTAAAAACTGACATGATAGATATGGCAAACATATATGAAATGATAGGAGCAAGATCGAGTACTAGTGTTGTGAGTAGTACATAAGACATGAAGTTGGGAACAACGTTGATAGGTACCGCCAAACTCCTAGGTTGAAGGGGATTGAAAATGAGACTTGGCAAGGGGAAAAAAACATCATATGCGCCCTGCAATTAGGCCAAGCTAACAGTAGCTTTAAATTCAGAAAACAAATTAACTACTTATGTCTGGTGTGGGTCTATAGTTTAGAGCAGATAATAGGTAGTTTTCCCCCTATGTGTGTGTGTGTATTATTTTTATTACATAAGAAGAATTAAAACTCTAAACCATTTTCTACCTGTACCCCAATTATACCACCTGGAAGGAGATTTTAGATGGCATGGATAGTAGGTGGCATTTTGAATTCATGCATGGTTGATGGTTGATGTTATGAAGGGCGAATCTGATGAAATATACGATATTAGATTCCAGTCATTGCACAATCTAGTGGCATCTATTCCATTTTGCTGTCGTTGAAACATTTGCCATGTTTTGTGTAATTTGAGTCGAACATGTCACCTATCTTCATTAAATTATTTATCCTAACCTTGCTGAGTGGCGGACTCGGGATTGTAAGCCAAAGGGGGAATATATATATATATATATATATGTACATATATATATATATATATATATATATGCATGCATGCACTATATAATCTAATAACATGGCATGATGGGATGGGTTATGACACAAGTCTCAGAACCCATGTTCATCTAATTTTTTTACAAACCTGAGGAGGCACCTCCTATCCTGTCCCCTTCATATAAGCATAGATCTACAAGTGCTTGTACTTTTTCTTTTTTGTTGGAATAACATGGCCATAGTAAAGAATCTACAAGAGAAACTAGCAATTAAGTCAAATATGAGATATATTAGTAAGTCCTTGCATTCTCAGAGTGGATCCTTAAAGATCGTGATATATAAGTTATCCGAACACGATTGGCAAGTTAGTACACTTATTTGTTTAGCTTATATAGAAACACGGTAAAAAGTAATGATCACTACTATAGAAATAAATTTTAATGGAATTTAAAATTTTAATTTCATTACATATATAAAATGCTATTAGATTTAATATTATCTTAAATTTTAGATGGTGTTTCATTACTTAATGAAATATCACAAGAAACTATAGTAATAGCAATAACATTTCCTCTACCTATTTACTTAGTTTTAAAAAATAAAAAAGAAGAGAGGTGCAAGAAACGCCACCTCTACTTACTTTTTTTTTATAAAAAGGAGATAGGTGGCGTTTCTTGCAATAAATGCCACCTATCTCCTTTTATTTTTTTAAAGAATAAAAAATATCACTTTTTAATATATATATATATATAATAGAATATAATATTTTATATATCTATCAATTTATATAAATAATTTTTTAGTAAGTATACAAGTAATTTATACAATAAAATTTTTTTATACAATTAGAAAAAATAATTAATTAATTTTATACTATACAAAGCTACAATAAATTTAACAAGGTAATAAAAATCTAGGATAAAAAACATAAATTAAATATTAGCTAAGAGATATAATAAGGTTTATTAGTAATAAACAATAAATTTGAAAAAAAAAATTATGACTAATGTTTAATAGAAATTAAATAGAGAATAAGTAAAGAAATTTATACAAACTATGAAGAAAAAAAAAGGTATCATCTGGCTATGCAAGTTTTAGCTATCCTTCAACATTGAACAGTTGCATATAAAAAAAAGGTGGGCAGATTTTAAATTAAAAATAAGTTTCTTCTTTAATGATTAATAAAAATTATCATCATTGCCTTTTTAAAAGTCTAAAACTTGACAAAACCAAGGTGTTTATATTGAAAGTATGAAGATTGAAGATCCCACTATCTGTTCCTTAAATCTCAATAAAGCTCTATACTTAAAGAATTGTTTCACCAACTAAATATGCCTATTAGCAAATTAGAAGAACAAATTGTTTAAGATCATAGAAAGAAAAATTATCAACTAAAAAAATAAAAGAAAAATTGTGAAGATTCATATAAATATATATAGATAGGTAGATAAGAGATGAGAAAAACTTAAAAAAGAAACTTATTGTAGTGTATTTATACAAGCAACTTTAGTTAGAGAAGATGGTGAGAGCAATTTCAAAAATTAGAGAATAAATAATCCATGAGTTTCAAGAGAGAAGAGCAAGCGACTAAACAGAGAAAATGATCAAGACAAGGAGATTAGGGTTTAAAAATTTCAAGAAGAATTAAAAACCATCTCCAATTTTTTTAAAAATAATTAAAAAAATCACAATAGTGGTCTCTCTAATTTTTAACACTTATATAAGATAAAAAAATACTATATCAATAACAGGGCAGAGAGATGACATTTTCAAACCTAAAAAATGCTACATCTCGACTTTTTAATTATTAAATAATAATATATATTAATAATTAATTTAAACTAAATAAATTTTAATAAAATGATATTTTATCTTGTAAAAAATTAATTAAATATTGAATGAAGCAAAGAGATGGCGTTTTCAAGTTTTAGAAACGCCACCTCTCTTCATTCATTTATTAAATATTATTATATATTAATTATAAATACTAAATAAATAAATTATAATAAAATAATTATTTAATATGATAAAATAAAATTTTAAATTAATAAGAGAGTACAGATATGACATTTTCAAGCTCAGCAAATATCACCTATCTGATTTTATTTATTAAATAATATGATGTACTAATTAAAATTATCAATTAAATAAATTATGATAAAATAATTATTTAATTTGGTAAAAAAATACTAAATCAATAACAGAGTAAAGAGGTGGAGTTTTCAAGAAATAATTGTAATAAAATAATTATTTAATCTAATAAAATAAAATGTAAAATCATTAACAAAGTAGAGAGGTGGTGTTTTTAATTGGCAATGCCACCTCTTTACTTTTTTATATGAATAAAATATTAATTTAGTAAAAAAGAAGAGAGGTGGAGTTTTGTCACTTTTAAAATGTCACTTTTTGTTATTTATTAAAATTATAAATAAAAAATAATTTATTAGTGGTAGCATTTGAAATAAATAAAAAACAATCTCTCTGCTTTGACTTTTATATTTGTGGTATTTTATTTTTTATTACTATAAAATACATGTTATTGAATCTCATTTTTTTAAAAGTGGATTCAATTCCGTGAGCATGGTAAAATTCCTAGTTCCTTTGATATAGAGCTAATGATTAAGGGAATGGTTCCAAGAGCATTCCTTTTGAATGAAGGTAATGGCTTCAAGCAAATTGTAGTAACCTAATTAACATAAATTAAGGCCTTCAAAAACAGTTCAGCCACGATATTTAGATGATATTATAATCTAGATTCTTGGTGAAGCCCTACATTCATTTGGGACGTGTGTACCTGATGAAATCACTGCAAGATGCTGTTCCATTAGAATTAACTGATTCATCAACATTGAGACAAATTCAACCAAATTGTGGTGAGTACTGTTCGGAGTGCATATCTCTTTATTAGAGTTAATAATTAAGTTCATCTTAGCTTTCAACTTGAGATCATCTATAATATTTTGAGTGCTGATGAAGAGTGCTTGGACTTGTTGGATAATAATCTTTGTGTTGAAGGTAAAGGGTGATACAGAAAGAATCCAAGTCTCCATAACGTGCACACAGGCACACAGTTCTCTTCTGATGTAAAGCCAGCTTAGCAAATCGTCATGCTGTCCAAGGGGGGGAAAAGTTGGGATGGCAAACATAAGGCGAGTTTGGGGTACAAATAAGCGATGAGATGACAAAGGACACGTGAAAAATTAACGCACATAAGTCGTGCCCTCCATCGTAGAAGTGGGACCCACTCTCCAATTGCTGTCACCAAAAGAGAGATCTTTTCTGTGCCTTCCCGTTCATGGCTCCTCTGCCTCTTCCGGTGGCATCACGCACACGTCTTCATCGCCCCTTGCCGGAGGCACCATGATGGCTAGCCTCATTACTTCTTCAAAAAATGACATTACTTTTTATCAACTCAAGACCCAGCTGATTTAATCAACCTTGTCACTGGTCCGTATCCCCGATCGACCTCATCCTTTTTTTTTCATTCTATATATCGATCCCTTTCTAAAATCCAATCGATTATGCATTGCTCGTCTCATCACCCCCTCTCTTTACGCCGCAAGGCAAACCGTTCACTTTCCACATTTCGTTTTCGCTTTCCATGTGTCGTTCACAAGAACCCTCCAAAGCAAATTAAGAAGCTAGTCACACTTTCAATGATAAAACTATTTATTTCATTGATTGAAATGAATCCATGGCTACAGAAAAATTACAATATTTCTCTAAACAACTATACAGCCTCGCTAGACAGCTGAACTAATTAACTTCTCAGCACAAATTGTTAATTCCAATTGATGATCAAGAAGAAAAAATGCACCTTCCCAGACATTCGCAGGGGTTGGTCCTCCAAAAATTGACCAGTCCTGGCTCCAGTTAATCCAGGGCTCTTGTGAATGTTCAGGAAATTATAAAAACAATCCGAAACTTTAATCGACTATCAGTATATTTGTACTCATTTACTGCTTAAAAATTCCACAGGAATGAGTCGTCAATTATCAGTCCGTCCATGTTTTCTTCTTCGTAATCCACAGTTGGCATTTCTGGTACGTAGAACTCGCTGGTTAAGTCATCAAACCCCGCGAATATCCCGTATTCATTTGCATAATTACCCGATCCGATTGTCTTGAACAGATCCGGGACCGATTCGTTTTGTGTCATTTCACAGTCCGTTTGCACCGTCACCTCAGAAAGCGAGGGTGACGAGGATTCCACGGGCAACATAGTCGCTTCCGAAAGCGAATGAGACGGAGACTCCTCTGGCAATTCACGGGTCAGGGGATTATTGGAATGACCCGTCATAAGCTCCGAATTGGCAAAACGGGCCGCGGCGGCTTGAATCTGGGCGGGGGACATGGACCTGCCGCCTGCGATGTCCGGCAGGTTATCAGGGAAATTAAAGTTACCAGAGCGACCGCGTAAGCAAAACATGGCGGCGTCGAAAGCACGCGCCGCCTTCTCAGCGGAGTCGTAAGATCCCAACCAGATCCTCTCCCTGCTGTTAGGTAGTCTAATTTCGGAGACATACTTGCCCCACTTCCTCTTTCGAACCCCTCTGAACTTAGAATCGCTTTGTTCAGAGGGCTTGTCGGCGACCTGCTTCACCATTTTTCCGGTACCAACGAAGCAAAATAGTAAGTGTGTATTTGTCCTTTTTAAAAGGTTTGAATTGGTTAGAATGGAGAACTTGTTTTCGAGCCGAGGTTTGTTTGTCGTGGATACTGGATGAGATTGAGAGCGTTTTTTTGGTGCAGACTCACAGTTTGCGGCTGCTTATTTATGTGTGTGCGATTCGGAATGAGCGCGTCTGTGCGCAAGCGAGTGAAAGGGTTTGACTACCTGTGACCGGTCACGGAGGCGCGTTGAAGGTACAAGTACAGGTGGCGGGTGATGATAGCAGTGATGTGTAGGAACGCGTATAAGGTGACAATGTTGGACCACGTTTGCCTTTTAATCCACGTGTGCTTACTCATTCACTTAGCTTATTAAATTACTTTAAGCATTATTCCCACCGTTAAAAAAAAATAAAATTTTTTTAATATTTTAAAATATAATTATTTTATTTTTTAAAAGTATTCATAATAAATAAATTATTTTATATTTATTTTAAAATAAAATACTATATTAAATAAAGGTAAGTATAAAAAATAGTATTAATTTAAATATAAGTAATTACTTTATTGAGGGATAAAATTTAGTTAAAAATAATTTATATTTTTTAATAAAGAGAGTATTTATATTATGTAACTGGCATCATTAGTGAAATAAAATTATTGACATGGCATGTGGTGACCTCTCTTATTCATCAGCTAAAAAGTTACCAGTGATAGTAAAATTTTTAATTTTTTAAGTTTAATTTTTATTCATTTAATCATTTAAATTTACTTTAATTATTAATTCAATTTTTTTAATTAAAAAATATAATATTATTAAAATATGTTGAGATAAATAATAAAATATTGATAGCAACTATATACGTTAATAAAAAAAGTTTAATTATTTAAGTCAAAAAACACAGGCAAAATTTAAAAATTCAAAATAACAAAATACAACCTAAGGGATTAGACTAATGAAAATTAAACTGATTCGGGGATAAATTTATTTTTATTTAGTTATATATACATATTAAGTCATTAATATACTTTTTACATTAAATTAATTTGAGAGTCAATTTTTGTTTTAAAATTTAAAGGACTAATTAATGATAATATAAGAAAATACAAAGGATCAAATTGATAAAAATTAAACTTGAGAAAGCTAATTGGTAATTAAAATAAATTTAAGAGAATGAAAATTTCATTATCCCAACTTATGAAAAGTCACATTGTTGATATAACAATACCCTTTGTTTTTTCGAACTTGGCATAATATACAAATATGAACAGATTTTCTCAAAATATGTTTACTAGCATTTGTACAATATGTTCTTTATACAGTAGTTGTTCCTACATGCAACTGCTTTCAAGCAATATAAATTCATTATCCGGGCATATATAGGATAGTTTAATGTTAATATGGAATATGGACGATAATATAGGTGTATACAGGTGAGTGTCTTGTTATATCCTTGTTTGAATAGGATAAATTAATATTGTCCAATAAGTTTGCGGTCAACCTAAAAAAATATTTATAACTTGGATTAGAAACAAAATCTAGGCTATGATGATGCCTTGTTTTGAACATGTCTCGTGCCTTTATATGTAAAGTTGTAAAATTATCTAGGATAATTTTTGTTTATTAAAAAAAATTAAGGATGGCGGTGTATTAGGACTTACCCATACGTAGGAAGGGTTCAGATCCTGTCAGCGTCAATTTTTCTCAGTGTCTTCAGAATCCCAATCTCAACCCTTCAATAAATATCTAATGTCATATACTTTGCCACATCATCTTATGTAAAAATAATTTTATTTTAAAAAATAATTTTTTCAGCATGTTATAAAAAATATTTCTTCAGATTTTTTTAAATTTTCATTAAATAGATTAGGTCAGAATTTAAATAAGCCAGACCATCTGTTTGCAATATGACTTACTCTGTAAATTTTTTTAAATAAATTTTTTATTAAGTAGATTATGTTAAAATTTGAATAAATCATATGGAAAGTATTTGTTTATAGTTTGACTTACTTTATAAATTTTATAAATAATTTTTTATTAAATAAGTTAAGTTAGAGTTTGAATAAGTTGGACTATAAATTTTTATAAAAAATTTGCAGTGTAATTTTTTTATAACAAGGTTTGAAAATAAAAAATAAAATAAACAATCAATTCAATGAAAGAATTATCTTTTTAAAATAAAATTATTTTGTATATGAGATGATGTCATAAAGTATGAGATATTAAGTATTTATTTAAGGATTAAGATTGAGATTCTAAGGGGACGCTGAGGAAATTGACGCTGAGAGGATCTGCATCCTACGTAGGAATGTGACGCAGGGAGTGGAAGCTCATTGATGACGTGGGGGCAGACCTGGAAGGGTCAAAGTCGAAGTACAAACTTTGATTGGGTGACTCGTCACCAAAAAGCACACACTTTGACGTCTCAAAACCTCAGCGTCGCATCTTACGTGTGGGATTTGAGCTGACCCTCCTACCCCTCCTCGATTTCCTCGCATCTTCACCACGCTTGAGCCTAACACTCTCACGCCACCTCTTCAATCATTTCCGGATTTTACATTTCTTTATCCCCTCGGTCCAATCTACAGGCTACTGCTGAAGTCTGGAAAATAGTACGGTATGTAACTTCCGCATACACAGTTCATCTTCCTTTCCATGTTCTGAGCATTTCACGCTCTGGATATGTTGTAAATAACTATCAAACGCTTTCTCTTCCTATCACGTGCCAACAAGGCCGATCTGTCGAAAGGGACATGACATCCCAATTAAACTAAACAAGAAGATGGATAAATGTAGCGTTGAATATTGCGGCTAGCGCGCTAGCAATCACTGGCGGATTAAACTTCAGGAGGAATCAGTTCAAAGGCAGAGCTGGCGCGCTGTTTTACTGGAATCTAGACACACACAGTATGGTCTTAGACTGACCGGTAATTAGGTTTTGTAGCTACCGAAATGCAAAACTCCAGTACGGGGATGCTCATCCTTGTCTAGTCTCTGCTACGTGAACTAATATAATATCGATGAATTCACACAGAATAAAATAAGACTTGCATGAGAAACATGTGTGTGATGAAATTGGAGTAATTCTTCGATTCTGGATACGATGTGCATGCAAGACCGGCCAACATTCGTCTACCTTTGCTAAGGAAAGCATCTCGTACTGAGAAATCTGCCAAAAGATAGGATCAGAGAACAAAATGGATCGTAAACTCCCAAATCTGTTATTGAGTACAATATAGACTCAGAAAGCACAATACAATGACACATGTGATGACACGTATACAAGGGTTCTTAACCACTCAACGAATCTCATGACAAACTTGGCTTTGACTAATTGACCATAACTGACTAAAAATCTAATATTCCCTGGCTACTAAACAGATTACATATCATCATCAAGATCAAGATCACCAAGATTTTGATAGAGTGAACAAAATCCTCTTGACCCATAATGTTCAACTTGTTTCTGAAGTACACAAACGAAGCTTTGCCCAAAGGCTTTGTTAGGATATCGATCAGTGATATATTCAAAGGCAAGAACATCACGTTTGGTTAGGGCCCACGGCGGTCATCATATGATGAGCAATCTGGACTGTCAAGATTCATTTTAATTTAGATGGTTCAAATTTACAGATTTTATTTTTATATTTTATTTTATATTCATTAAAATAAAAATTATAAATAATAATAAATTTATCTAATCATCAATTCAGATAATACGGATTTAATCTTAATAATCCAATTTAATATTAATTTTTTTATAATTTTTATAAATTGACTATCCAAATATGCTCTAAACAGTCTATATTTAAAATTTTTAAGTTGCAACTTTTTCTTAATTTTTTTAAAGGGTTAGTTTGAAGATTATCTTTATCTTTATTTTTTAATGTTATATCTACTAAAATAAATTTATAAAAACTCTAAAAAATTTGTTATTAAATCTAAAATGTTCAGAATATATCTAGATAGTCAATTTATAAAAATTAAAAAAAATTAACATTAAATTTTATAATCAAGATTAAATTTGTATAATTCATATTGATGATAAGATAAATTTATTAAAATTTTATAATTTTTTATAATAAATAAAAATATAAAATATAAAAATAAAATTTTAAAATTTAGACCCAGATGCTCATCAAGTATCGTGCTTATCACTTGATGAGAACCAAAGCCAAACTCCATAATCAATTTGTATCGTTCTGAACAAAGTGCAAGTCCAATTCCACATGTTCACTACTAAAAAAGATAATATAAAATGCCTTTAATTGAACGATTATCTATAAAATTATTGAATAAAAATAGGTGAGATTTTTAAAAACTATTATTCAACAGTCATTTGAAGAACCATTGAATAACAATAAGCATTTACTCAACGATTGTTGAGTAATTCTTTTTTTTAGAAAAAAAAAAAGAGTAAAAGACTATTAAAAGGTTTGTCCTAGACAACCGTTTAATAGTCTCTTAGTATATTAAATGGTTGTGTGTGTGCAATCGTTTAATAAAGACTGCTCAATAGTTATATTTAAATAATCATTAAATACTCTCATTTAAAATTTAAAAGACCCTCCCACTTCGAGACGTTACAAATGTATAAAAGTTATGTATGCCATTTATACTTTAATTAATTGATATGTATTAGTATAGATTTGTTGTACTTTAATTACTAAATGATTATACTCACCCTCTTTCTCTTTAATATTATAAGTGCTAGCTCATCAGGATAGGATCGAGAAAAACAGCCTGAGGCTCAGGATTTTTATCCAAAGTTTGTAGGCCTCCTTTATTTTAAAAATTTTATAATTTATATTAATAATGCCAACTAGTAAATTGTATATTTTTGCTTACTTGCACTATTTGATTCTTAATCGAAGTTGTGTATTTTAAGCTCTAGATTATATGTGTGTTAAATGAGATATTTAGAAAGGGTCAAAATACTAGTGCAAGTAAGGAGTGAGCAAATTTGTGATTGATGATGAATTGTATGATACTTTATGAAATTGAGACTCTCCCTTATGTTATCAAAAGGTTGAGCGTTGAAAATGCTGTAAATGTGCTATTTGTATGTTGTGGTATATTACACAGGTGTTTGGCTTAGTAAGTATAGTATAAGATTAAGTT